CTGCTATAACATCCAGGGTCACAGGCTCAGAGCCAGGTGACGACACTCTGCTATAACATCCAGGGTCACAGGCTCAGAGCCAGGTGATGATGCTGGCCTGGAACAGTCTGAGTGACAGCAGTACTCAGCCTGGGCCTTGAAAGACAAGTGGGATTCAGATGAGAGGAGAGGAAGGCAAGGGGCTCCTCACGCGGGAAACAAAGATGCAGAAAAAGAAATGTGCATGGCAGGGCTGGGGGAGAGCCTTAGGGGACACTGACTAGGGTCAGACTGCAGAGGATCTTGAATGCCAGGTTTACCTTTGAAGAAAAGGGGAGCCACTGCCAGTCTGTGCACTGAGGAGTGGCATGGCGGAAGAGGTGCTTGAGGAAGAATTGTCTGGCAGCTGTGTACAGACTGGATCAGAAGGGCCAAAGGAAGCAGGCAGGAAGGGAGGCTGTAACAAGGCAGGCCTGACAGGAGGAGCGGCAGGGCAACAGAAAAGTAGAAGCGCAAGAAGGTACAAGACAGAAATTTCTCACTGGCTAAATTCTTCAGAGCAAACCCTCCTAAACCATTGACCTGATGACTGCTGCCGAGTCCCGGGGCAGGTAAGAGCCATTCAAAGACTGGAACATTATTTTGGCAAATCCCCTTTACAGTCCAGAGACTGGACCAGGCCACCTCCTTCTGACTGCCACCAAAAGAAGTCACTGCTCTGAAATCACATTCCTTGTAACCCCACGGAAGGCACCAGGGCCTTGGGATGCTTGAGTTCTCTGGATCTTAGACATGCAATTAAATTCTCTCAGAACAAACTTCAGCCTCCTGCATGAGATAATACCTCCCTTCCCCACAAGCCTCAGCTCCACCCAGGCTGGGGTCTAGACCCTCCTGGGGAGGGGGGTGGCCATGGATTAACTCCATGCCCACACCACCCCTCTGCAAAGCTGACAGGCAGCTTTCCCAGGGTGGAATTACGCCAACCACAGCTGGGAGATGGGACTCGAAACCAGATTCTCAGAAAAAGTCCACATTCTCAACAGCCTGAGTCTTGTCTTTGTGGTCCCAACTCTCCCCCCTAGGTATGAGGTCCCATGAGGGGGTTCTGAGTGGGTTTTCACAAATGGGAAAACAACATCCATCTTACAGCCGGTGAGTGGTGGGGTGAGAGGCACCTACAACTTAAGGCAGTGGTTCCCAAGTGTCACCCAGCTGACCAAGGACAGTGGTGTCCTTCCAGGACACAAGGTCCTTCTGGGGCCCTTTTTTGGTGTAAAACACGGGAGTGTGGGGAAAGGAAAGTCCCTCAGGTGACACACACAAAAAAACATCAGAGTTTTTTTTTTTAATCATTAAATTCCTGTCTGGATTTATAAATTCAGCTTCTCACATCCCTAGTGGATACCTCCTCTGGCTGAAAAACAGCGCTAAAGGCAATTGTAAAAGGGTTGCCGAAACCCATCTCACGGGTGCTCCCAGACCCAACACAACTAGTCTTTTGCACTCTTAACATTGTCCATGATGGGAGATGAGAGGATATCCCAAGTGGGGAAAACCTCTGTCCTGGGCACACTCTGATTACTAAAAACCCCTCATTCCTGGCAGGCTCTAGAGCGTCTCACCAAACTGTCGCCTCTTTTGAGCCCAACAAACCCATTGCCACCAGCCAGAACCCACTGTGCCCACACTCCCACCCCCGCCCCTCTGCCGTGGCCGTGTCGACCCCGCTCTTTCCAGAACGGCAAGGCGTTTATCGGATGGAGCGGTGAGCCAGTGCCGCACCGGCCCCCGCAGTCCCCGGGGCAGAGTCCGGGCCCGTCGCCCGCCCCTCGGGGTGGGTGGCTCGAACTCGCTCCCCTCCCCGACGCCACCACCTGCGCCCGCTCCGGCGCCGCCTTTGTCCGGCGCTTCACTGCCGAGTGGGCCCCTCGGGCCCGACCTCACCCGGCCCCCCGGCCCCAGAGGAGCGGCGACGGAGCCAGCAGAGCAGGACCAGGCCAGGCCGCGAGCACGGGGTCCCGCTGTCACTTAGAAGCGGTCTGACAACTTCGATCCCCCCGCCCCACCTCGGACTCGGCCGCCGCCTCGCACGGTCCCCGCCGGGCCTCCTGCGGCCCACACTCCGCTTCTCGAACCGGTCCCCTTCCGTTTTCGGCGCCTCCTTCCTCCCAGCCCGATCAGGTCAGGGCTACACTACCCACCGCCCCGGCGCGGCCCCCGTCCCCTGCCCCCCATCCAGCAATAACCGGCCAGCTCCCAGCGCGGGAGGGCGCCCCCCACCCTCAGCGAGCGATCCCGCGGCGCCGCCCCCGGCCGCGGCCCCTTGCCTCGGGGACCGCGATGGGGGAGGGGGCGAGCGAGCAGAGGGGGGCCTCGGCGCCCGCACACTCGGAGGCGAGCC